AGATGCTTTTCCCTGGCAATAAGTGGGGAGGGTGAGAATCCCATCCTGCCCATGCTGTGTGTGAGGGTCAGCACTGTCAGACAATCCCAAGATAAAAGACAAGTCCCCTGGGTTTTACTCCATACACTGAGAGAAGAGCCTGTAAAGGGAGAGCAAGCACTGGGTGACTGGCACAATTCTTAGGATTTCTGGGACTGAAATAGTGGAAACAGCAGTGAGGGCTGATCCTCTGGGCTGCCTCCAGTGGGATGGAATGGCACCAGCTCTGCTAAGTATAAGGAGAAAATTAACAAAGTGTGGAGGATTATGGGGCAATAGCACCTCTCTCCCACCTCTGGGAAGAGGCAGAGATGACAAATATGTGAACCCACTTTGCTTTTGCATGGTTTGAAGCTGGAAATTTCCTTCCAAAGTGTATTTCTTGCAGGAAAGTGTGTGCCAGGCCTATCACAGATCAGAAGGCAGCGGGGTTAAAATGAGCTTTCTGGGGAATTTCTGTAAATTGGGGGAATTTAGACTGGATACAGCTAGTGATGAAGGAAGGGAAGCCTTTTCCTGGCCTTTGACTAGGGGTCTTGCAGCCAGTCCCGACAGAAGGGAATATACATCCACGGGCTTTTTCTGTCACCCTGGTGCCAAGAATAAATGCAGATAGAGTGCAAAGTGCTGTAAGCCTCGGAGGATCTAAGATGAAATGTTTCTTCCCTGGATCCTCAGCTAGGTCTCACCCTCTGGGCCCTCCTCGTGGGGGAACAGCAGGGTCAGCCCAGGGTTCAGGCTCCTTTGGGGTTCTGGGGGCAGCAGAGTAGCCTTGGGGAAGGGACAAGGGAAAGGACAGATCTAAGTTTGGCAGCTCCTGCACCCCACAGTGCCCTTTCCCTTTGGCCTCTGACGCTTCCATCCTCCTCTCCAGCAAACACACGTGGATCTTCTCTTGGAGGAGAAAGAAATACCAGAAACATGGAAAAGCTGGTGCCTGGCATTGCTGAGAGGTGGGGGCAGACAGGGCTGGGGAGTATTACGCTCTCTCTCACGGTATTACCCCAGCAGCAGCCAGGGGTAACTGGATCCGTGAGAGTCTGATCCTCCCAAGCCGTTAATTGGATGCGTGAAACGTCCAAAATGCAGCTCACTCTCCTGCTTCCCACAGCTATGACACACACACACGCTCTTCTTGTCACACAAGGGTGTTTCCCCCTGAACCCAGCCCCCTCCTACATTTCCCAGCACCCAGCTCCAGGCCAGCAAGCTAAAGCTGGCCATTTGTACAGGAACCCTCTCAGCCAAGAGAAGTGCTGCTGGTGGTGCAATATTCAATAGATTTCCAGACACCCCCTTTTTCTGTTCTGCAAAGAAAACACCTTGGTTAGACAAGGGGCAAAAGGAAGTGGCAGAACAAATAGGGAACAGTCTCTTTTGTGGGACTGGGCTTGGGGATGGGGATGTGGTGAACACTCTCCAAGGCTTGTGCAAACTGGAGCACAAGGATGGGAGTGCAGGGAGCACCCGCATGGACCAGGCAGCAGCTGGGGCAGTACCCCCAGCCTGGAGAGGCCAATGTGGCTTTTCTAAGGCTCTTGCATCCCCCAGCCCTCCCTCCAGCCCAGTTTCCACTGCAAGCTGCAGCAGTCCTCCTCTGCAGTGTTGGACTGGGACAATGCTCCCTGGATAAGTGGGCCTTCTGTCCCCAGCTGCACCAGAGCCAAGCTCTCTCCTCAACCTGCAAGCCTTTTGCTTTTTCCTTTTTTGTTGTTGTTGCAAGGATTTTTTTCCTGTTTTTTTTCTTCTTTTTTTCCTTGTTTTTTTTTTCCTCCCTTGCAAAATCAATTTACAGACAGCTCACTCATTTTTCCCCTTGCAAACTTATTAGGTATTCAGTCCCGGCTAGCACTCGTAAGCATCCTTTGTCCCAGGGAGGGCTGGAGACCCCTTCATTAGCAGTGATTACCTCTGAGCAGTTTGACAGCCTCCAAGCCCGCTTACAAGATTTTCCCATTCAGCCCTGCCCGGGGCTGCCCCGTTTCTCAAAAGAAACGGAAATATTCAAACATTTCTCCCCCCTTCCCAGCTGAAGAGAGGAAAAGCTGTTTCTCTTCTCCGCCCTCCCCATTCACTTCACTTTTGATACAATATTTTCCTTCTTTGTTAAGCCGGAGAGAGAGGGGTCAAGGCGGACTTTTTAGTGACCCTTTTCGGAGCGTTTTGTTTAATGTAAATACAAGCTCCTTCACTCTTACCCGTTTATAATTATTATTATTATTTTTAAAACAACCAGAGGCTCGGGAGGGCCACGGCTTGGGCTGAACTTTCGGGGGAAAAAATTGCTGAAAAAGCCAGGGGAAGGACATTCAATAAGGAAAGGAAAAGGGCAGATGAAAAAAAATCAAACGGGGGGACGAGGTGGGGAAACCGCGTTTTTTTATTTTGGGTCTTATTGGTGGAACTAAAGGCGCCGGCGCAGCCCCACGGCCCCGGCGGGGCAGAGCTCGGGCGGGGAAGAAGCGGAGCTGCGAGACGCTCGGTTCTCCCGTTCTCCCACAGCAAGCAAGGCCGGGCAGCGGGGCTGCTCTTCCCACTGGAGCTCCGTGCTCCTTTCCCCTCCCCGGCCACTCTCATCCGAAGGATGCCGCCAGCATCGGCGGGAGGGTCACTCTACTGCCCACTCGAGAGATCCCGCATCCTTCATGACACTCAAACCCTTTGTCGAAATAGGCAATATCATCCCCGCTGCCTATTGAACAAATTCCAGGTGATTTTTTAGCTGGAGAGAAATCCCACGTTATCAGACGCTGAGCGCATGTGCTCTCCGCTCTCTTTATATCTTTAATTCCCCACAATAAGCGCTGCTACTCTGCCCGCAGAGGACGACGGAGAAATTGAATCAAGTTCACCGATTTCCCGGGCAAGAAAAGAAATAAAGAAAGAACACGATGTATTCAAGCAGATTCTTTTTTGAGGGCTAACCCCGCTTTTGCTCCCGAAACAACCTCGTGGGTGGGAAGTGCTGCCCCATCAGCGAGCCCCAAACCCAAGGTAAAAGCCCAACCTCGTTTAACGCTTAAACAGCGCAGCCGGGCTTTTCTTGCACGGCTTAAATCCGGTGGGGTTCAGGAGGCAACAAAACTCAGGGTTTGGGGCTCAAAGTGCGCTCCGGACCCTCCCTTAAGTGGGTACCCCAAAGAAAGGTGGAGACCCCTACTCTGCCCCCGCTCCCCGCCCTGCGATCCGACCCTTCCGCACTCCTAAAATGTAGATTATTTGCCTGTTACACCCCACCAGGGAAAGAGCTGCCTGCAAACTGACTTGAAAAAACAGCTAAAAAATTCCTGATACCTGCCCCATCCCTCGAATAGTCTGTAAGGAAAACCAAAGCACATGCATATGGTGACAGAATGCAGACTTTGGCATAGCGGGTGTAAACGCCTTGAATCCAGGTTTTAAATTCAAATTTAGACAGAAGGGGAAATGTCACTGCCGAGACGGGAATATACGTCCCGATAAAAGGCAGCAGGACTGAATTAAACTATCACGGAGCTGAAATGCCCCTGTGCCCCCCCGGGCGCTGCCCTTGCAGGCAGCCGGAGCCGAGCGGGAGCCGGGGCATCTCCTGCTCCCAGCGCTGCCCGGCTTTCCCCAGTGCCAGGCTTCGGCTGCTAAATAAAACGAGCCAAGCAATCAGCTTACCGGGGAAGCATCTCTCTGAGGACAGGGAAGTAAACGCGATGAGACCGAGAAGACAAAAAAAGCACAGCTCAGGCGATTTAAAGATCAATGTCAAATTGTATAATATAAAATCCTTCTGCTGGGGAAAAAAGCTTAGCACGCTCCTTGGACCTGGCGTTTGGTCTCCTCCAGCAAAACCGCCTCAAAACAAGGCGAGGGAGGCGGGTGGTGGGGACAGCCACAGGCACATCGCAGAGGTCGCGATTTGGGGTAATTTCGCCTCCGCTATGGCCTTTCACTGGCATGGAGAACTGTCAATTCCCCATCTTCTCCTTGCCTTTACCAGGTGAGGGAGGAAGCTGAGTTTCCCCGGCAGGGCTGTGCCTCAACCATTCCTCTCCATAATATTATTTTTAATTTTTTTCCCCCTCGTTCCTCTCAGAAAATTTGCCTCCGATAATCCCCAAAGCTTCAGCCCTTAAGAGAAGATGCTGCGGCGATGTCACCTCCTTCCCTTCCTCGGGCACCCGCATTCCCCGCCAGCCCCATTCCCGCTACTCTCGCCTCATCCCGGCTCCTCCCAGCTCCCTGCCTGGCAAAGACATCACTCCCGGTCCCGGGGACCGGCTAGTTCGGTTCCTGCCGAGCTGTTGCTGAAATACCCGTGGCCTCGGAGATCTGCTCTGCGTAAACTGGCGGGCTTGAGACCGACACCGTCATTTCAAAGCAGATGCGAGGGTCGTTCACCAAATATTTTATTACGGTTTTAGGCTGCTTCATACAGTTTCGTCCTGCACATGCTCTACAAGTCACCTGTGCACATAGAGAACAAGCCAAAAATAATAATAATTAATAATAATAATAGAAAAAATCTACCATAGCAATCCCTTAAATAAGTAAATAAACATTATATATATATATATAAAAAACCCTTTAAAGTAAAGCAAAACCCAACCAAAAGAACAGCGTCTTTTCAACATGAAACAACCCTGCGGGATAAGGGCAGGGACTCAGACATTTTGCAACTTGGCATTCGGTTTTTTGATGATTTTTTTTTTTTTTTTTTTTTTTACGTTTTCTGGGCTTTCTTTAATTATTTCTTTTCAGGCATCAATTCTGCAAATCCTTCGAAATAAAGGCGACAACGATTTTAACGACGTTTTTTAATGCAGTCTGGTGCGGGGCTGGGAGGGAGGCGCGGGCGGGCTGCCGGGGAGCGCCCCGTAGCCCGCGTTCGGCGCCCGCGCCGGGCACTGCCAGCCCCGCCGCTCCGGCCGTGTCGGCAGGCACCGGTGAGCCGGGCCTCCCGCTGCCCCCGGTTTGCCATGGCGGTGGTGTCAGATGTCACATTCACTGTCGCTGGATGTGATGGAGATGGCGGAGGTGGCCGCTTTGCTGGAGAGGCTGGCTGCGGGGCTGGAGGCGGCCCCCACCGCCTCCCCGCCGCTCTCCTCCTCCGCTTGCAGCGAGCGCACCGAGCCCTGCGTTAGGACCTGCTGCTGTAGCCTGCAAGGAAGCGGCACACACAGCATCACCGTCCGCACCCCGGCACCCTCCGACAGCACCCCTGTGTCCCCCCCAGGGGGTCCCCCCACCGGCACCACCGACCTCCGGCTCTCACCACTTATACTAGCCATAGGAGAGAGGAGAAGCTGGGTGAGCACCCTGTTCCTCAGCTCTGAAAAACCGGGTGCCCAACTCAGGGTCAGCCCCGCTCCTCGGCCAGCACACCCGGGGGAAGGTTGTCCCCCTCCTTCGCAGCCTGCCCCCAAACCAGGCCTCATCTTAGGGGTCAGTAATGCCCTGCAGCAGCTCCCGGGCGGCGTCTCCCTTCCAGTAGGCCTTACATCTTCCCTTAGTGGATAAAAAAGGGCTCCGGGTGACTACCCACGTCCTCGACGTGCGACAGCCCGGCTGAGGGGTGACAAGGGGAATTGTCCCCACCCCGGGATCCTGGGGAGGAGATAAAGGGGGAACTCTGCTCCCTCCCCTGCTTGCCGGGACTTCTGCTTGTGTCACCAGCGTTGGGATAACACTGCTCATTCAGAGCCGTGATTTTGTTCTGTAACATATATTTTTAAAAATTTATATACATATGTTGTATTTCTACTATATATTTATATAAATATATAAAATAGAAACAAGAACAATATCCCAAGGAATGTTCCCGGATGGCTCCGGTGGAAGAACAGGACAGGGCGGCTGTGGCAGGGCCCGCAGAGGGCACGGCCGGCTCTTCTCAGGATGGACATATCTCAAACCGGTATTTCTATGTCCAGGCAAAACTTTGAAGGGGGTTTGTCTCTGCTCAGCGCCTGAATATGGCCCTTCTGCCGCCAGCTCCAGCCGGTGGCCCCAGGCGGCCCCTCTCCTGCTCCCCCTGTCCCGCTCCTCCACAGGGCAGCCAAGAGGGAGCCCAGTACGGGGATCCTCCCCGATTAAATCGAACTAATTAAAAATCTTCAGCGTTTTCCCGCTACTCCCGCTTTATCTCGCTGCATTTCCCGGGGAGAAATCTCCCGGGCTCCTGTTCCCCATCCTCTGCCGGCGGTCTCGCACCGCCTCCCCGCAGCCTCCGGCCTCCCTAAGGGAGAGCCTGTGTCCCGATGGGACGGACAGCACCTTACCTGTTCTTAGCGGCTGCTGCCCTGTCCCTTTGCCTGCGGTTTTTGAACCAGTTGCCCACTTGCGTGGGGGTAAGTCCCGTGGCCTGAGCCAGTTCCCGCTTTTTGCTAGGGTTGGGGTAAGGGTCCTGCAGGTACCACTCCCGCAGCAAATGCCTCGTCCGCTCCTTGAAGCAATGTGTCTTCTGCTCGCCGTCCCAGATGGTGCGGGGCAGCGGGAACTTCTTCCTCACCCGGTACTTGTCCACCGGCCCCAGGGGTCGGCCCCGCAGCTTCTCCGCCTCCTGGTAGTGCGCTTCCAGCCAGAGGGCTTGCAGTTTGGCATGGGACTCCTTGGTGAACTTGTGGTTCTCCAGGATGTGGTAGAGCTCCCGGTAGTTCCCCGTGTGGAAGGCCACGATGGCCCGGGCTCTCAGCACCGACTCGTTCTTGTTGAGCGCCTCGCAGGCCGCGGGGGCCACGGGCAGGGACCAGAGGAAGCGCCCCAGGCGCTCGATGTCCCCGCTCTCCTCTAGGGTCTCGCATACCCCGGCCACCTGCTGCGGGCTGAAATTGAGGATGGGCAGCTGGAACATGGAGGCGGCGCCGGGCTCCGCTCCGCGCTCCGCGCACCCGCGGCGATGCCCGCCGCCACCGCGCACAGCCCCGCGGCGGGGAAGGGGCAGCGGCCCCGGGCCGCCCCTCGCTCCGCTGCTGCCTCCGCCGGCGCCGGCAGAGCTGCGGCGGGAGGGACGGCGGAGGGCGGAGAGGCGATGGGGACCGTTCGGCAGCTCCGGCGACTGGGGGCGGTGGGCAGGGGCGAGGC